CCCGTGGCTCGCCGCGTGTATCTGGCGCGGGTCGACGTGGTCTCCGACGAGTGCCCTTTCTGCCACCAGAGGGAGACCCTGGCGCACCTGGTCCTCGAGTGCGCCAGGCTGCAGCCCCTGCACCTCCTCCTCCAGAACCTCTTTTTGAAGTTCTGGCTGCACTATTCCCCGCACTTTTTGGTTTACGCACTCCCCATCCGTCGCCCCACCAAGGCCCGGGACCAACTGGTCAACCTCCTCCTGGCTCTGGCCAAGCTGGTTATCTGGCTATCCAGGAAGGAGGCTCTGGCCGGGAAGGCTCCCGGTCGCCTCGGGGCGTTTTTCCTCGGTGTCCTTCGCGCCCATCTCCGGGCAGAGCACCACTGGGCAGTAGCCGCCGGTGAGCTGAAGCAGTTTGTCAGCCGGTGGGCGCTGTCTGGGGTGCTCTGCTCACTGACCCCCGGGGGAGCACTTGTTTTGAACCTTGGACCACACATGCACACCCTATTTTTCTTTTAGCTGTCCTCCGCAATTTTTATGTAACTTTCGGGAGCCCAGCCGCCCAATTGTGAGTGGCAGCCCCTGAAGAATTTTTTTGAAGAGTGTCATCTGTCCGGTCACCAGCCGGACGCCGGTACCGCCATCGGCCACCCGACGGGGTGGCCCTAAGATCTATATTGGAAATTCTGTCTTTCAATAGTACCAGCAAAACCTGATCCTCTCCTCACCCTTGCCCTATGAGCTGGGCATGACCCAGCCATCCCCAGAGAGGCACCTGGGTCTGTGAAACCTGTTGCCAGGATCTGGCCTCTTCGTACTCCCAAGGAGGCCTGCCTGCTTGGGAACGGCCAACCCTTAGCCAGGGGACAGTCCATCAGAAGGTGCCCATGGCCATGAGATGCATTTGTCTCAGACAGCAAGACACGTGTGTAGGACATAGGAGCAACCAGAGAGGCTGACTGAAGCCTAGGGGGGAAATCCCCAGGACAGTGCCACTGGACTGTATGGTGAGGGCACTGGGTACTGCCACTCCCAGGCTGCGGGCACCAGGGAAGATCCCACGCCCTGCACAGCACAGCTGCTCTCCTCTGCCTGGTGCTGCGAGGGTGACATAGCTCAAACTCCACCCATGATACTGGTTAGGGGGCACCTCTTGACATGCTAAGGGCGAGCATGTCCCTCAGGGCTGCTCCCTGCCTAACTGGACAAGACCAAAACCCCGCCTAATCCCGGCCTCCTAGTGGACAGGGGCCAGTACCAGGTGCAAGAAGCCCCACACTGAATACCCTGCCTTGGGGGCAGAGACCAAGTCCAGCCCAGAAGCCATGCATAGGCCCCAGAACTGCCTGCATTGTCCCGTGCCCCCAGTCTCTGCCTTCTCCTCTTGCACACTAGGTCCTCCCCAATGCCAGCCACCCTACTGCACTGCATTGCTCTACCTGTCATGGCCCCAGCACAGCTCAGCCTCCATGCAGAGATGCCTTGAGTTTCTCTGGTTGCGAGGAACAGCTGTGCTCCACTGCAGGACCTACTACCCCTGTTGAGTGGAGCAGCACAGACCCTAATACACTTCACTCCAGGAGACCCTGGCACAGAGGTTCATTGCATTCCAGCTCCTCTAAGTGTTAGACCACCCGGCTCCACTAAAGAGCTTGGAAGGGGATCCTGCCCCTCTGAGTGGCACAGGGGCTGGGCTGTGGGGCTTCCAGGTTGGAGTAAGTACCACAAGGCTCGAGGGAAAAGCCCCTCTCCCCACCAGAATAACACCTAGCGATTAGATGCCTCCAAAGGACACTCAGAGAAGAGAGCTCCCTGCCTACCCCTCACGGGAAGGAGCCAGCATGAAAGCAGGGGGATTTTGCCTACCTCTCCATTGCCCCCTGCCCCTTCCCCAAGTACAAGCGACCAGGTGTAGACAGGGAACCAACAGCTGAGCCCTACAGTCGAAGCGAGAACTGCCCCCCCCCCCCCCCCCCCCCCCCCCCCCGCGAGAAATCCTCCAGACTAGCACCTTTTATACATCCCCCCAGCCCAGCCTTGACCTTCTCAGGCCAACAGCTGGGAGGGCCCTTTCCAGCCAGCACAGAAATCCAGTTCCCGATTAGCCTGTCGCTGCCTCAGAGACAGCCATGCTCCAAGGAACAGAGCCTGCACTGGCGCTGGGCACACGGAAAGGCCTCCCCTGGCCTATTCCTTCCCAGAAAATAAGGCAGAACCCCTGCATCCACCTGAAATGGGACCCAGCTAGGGCTCCATTCTGCTGCAGCTCTCTCTACTCCTGCTGCCCATTTAACTTCCCCTGTAATTTCAGGCTTTCAACAGTCAGTGCTATTTACCAAACACCGAGCCTGCAGCGTCATTCAGCAGATTAGTGCTCGGAGCCGAATTCCGCCTCCTTAGCCCCTTGCTCAATGCTGTGTCGCAGCAGCTGGGGAGACCATATCTCCCCGGGAAGACAGTCTGTAAGCTCAGAGGCCTGGACCCAATCTCACAAGAGTCTGCCTGTGAGATTGTTACAGATGTTAAAATAGGAACCAGGAGGGGCTAGAGGACACACGTGGGGAGGTGGAAATAGAGCCCTCAGCTTGCAGCTCTAAACCCAGAGCACTTGAACTGGGAAACAGTGTCCGAGGGCAGGGGGCCCCTAATCCTCTCTATAGGCTGCTCCTCCTGTACAAGGCAATATCACCCACTTCTATCCAGTGCTCATGCATTAAGTAAACCCTGATTATTATCTGCATGGCGGGGGCACCCAGGAGCCCCAGTCATGGAACAGGTCTCCACAGTGCTTGCCTGGAGTCAACAACTCAGGGGTAAAACAGGAGACCAGAGGTAGATTATATAAGCAGAGGAGAGCGTGAAGACAGTGTCAGCACCACTGCAAAGCTAGGGGAGATAGACACATTGGAAAGGCTTTGGAGACACCCATTAGGCATTGCCTGGAGTTAGAGAGCCACTGCAGTGGGACAGAAAGCGACTCGACAGCAGGACTCCTGGGTTCTGCTCCAGGTTCTGCCATTGATTGCATGACTGTGGGCAAGTCGCTGCACTTCTCTGAGCCTTAATGGAAATGAAAATGTTTACCTGCACAGAAGGGATGCACAGAGAAGGACTTCAACAATTCATTTGTGATCATGGAAGGACTTTGAGGTTTCAAGATAAAATGGTGCAAGGAAAAGGGGGGGGGGGAAGTGTGAAGAGCAGCAGTTGGGAACTTGGAGACGCATCATCTTATAGTCAAAAAATGGCTTCCCCTTATTGTTCTAGCCCACTTCTCCAGCAGCGAGCTGGTTTAACCCCAGACAATCCTACTTTTAGATGGCAACCCACTCATCCAAAGGCCTGCTGCGTTCTGTAGTACTAACCCAACATGCTGCAGTACAGTGACCACAATCTACAGTAGTTTCAACTAGTAACATAATACTCTTTAATGCCATGCATGTAACAACAATCCATACGGGGTCCTGCCACTTGCAGTGCTAGCTGGTGGGATGTTAGGATGATGCTATAAATATACTAACCACAGCTGTTGTTAAATTTAGGTCGGGGAAGATATTAGCCCCTAGCACAGTACCAGATCCTCACCCTGCTGAGACAAGAGCATCATGTGGTTGAGAGCCAAAGGAGACGACAACAAAGGTGGGAGCTCCCTTTCCAATGGGACGATGCATCTCAGCATGGGTACCATCATATGAAGCCTTGTCTATACTGGTGAACAGCCCCAATTCAGCCATGCTGATCCCTGCTCAGAAGCAGTCTACACTAGGCTAGTACATGTTTAACCCAGGCTGTGCCAAAATCTCTTGGGCTCTGCCTATGCTTCAAGATCAGCACCAATGCAGCCACACCAAGTGCCAAATTTGAGTCTTCCTGAGTGCAGAAGATGTGAGTGGTGCTCAAGACACTTAACGTGCACATGCTTTCCACACCAGGAAGCCCAAGCCTCTTTAATAGCAAGTAGCAGTCACCTCCAGCTCTGATCCCAAGGGGTCCAGGAGCCTCAGGAGAAGGTAAGAGGCAATCAAGGAAAGGAGTAAAGTCCCTGTTCAAGGGGCTCATCTCCTTCAGTACTTTGTGTGCCCCTGGCATGCTGAACTGCTATTAGAGACCAGAGGGACTACAGTCTAGCAGAAAGGTGGCATACCCATGCCATAACCTGCCATTTGTCTTTGAGAAAGCCACTTAGGCTTTGTGCAACTCAGCTTCCCATTCTGTAAAATGGGGTCAAGTAGAGTCTGTGCAGCCCCCTCTACTGCAGCAAGCTAAACTGCAAAATCTAATTCACCAAACAGAGTAGCCAACCTGCTTTGCAAGAGAGACCAAGAACAGAGTGCCAAAGCCGATTCATCAGATCTCAGCCTCACGTGATCCCTAGGAGGTGTGGTTCAGGTGGGAGTGTGCAGTGCCCACCAGTAGGACTGCCATGGGGCAGTAAGAAGAAGAACAAAGGGTGCATAAGGGGAAAAGGTTTACATGCATACCTCCAGTTACAAACAAGGAAGGGTCACAGAACAGGCTCTAGTCCTATCTCTACCACTCACACACTATGCAACTTTGAGCAACAGACTTGCTCTCGCTGTGCCTCAGTTTCCCCATCTGCACAATGGGAACAAAAGCACCCACCTCACAAAGTGCTGGGAGAGCCCAGAAACTAGGAGTTTGAAGTGCTTTGAGATCTGCACACAAAATGGCACCAAGGAAAAGCAGAAGTGTTGGTTTATGTCACAGGGATCCAGAGACTCACCAACCCAAAAACTCTTTTACCACCTGGGAACAGATCACTCAAGACCATGCAGAAGCACAGACCAAGAGAGGGGACAAATGCAAGGAGGCTCCTGGTGGCACTACCCCTGGAAGCCGAGGACTGGCACGCTGACCTCGATCCACAGCCCATCACCCAGGGAAAGTGTCACTCGGCCCCCATGTGAGTCCGCAGCACTCAGTGTGCACGAAGGCAGCTGAGGCGAGAGAGTTCTTGCCTCCCTCATCTCTCACCTCCCTCACGGAGCCGGCTTCTGCTCTGCACAGGTGATGGAGGGCACAGGACCATTATTTTTATTAAAGAGTCCTCCCACAGAGAGCTGAAGGCTGTCATAAGCCAAGCCTCCCAAGCCCGACTCATTCATGTCATCAGCTGCAGGCAGCAGGTGGGGTGACTGAAAGCACCACAACAGGCACTTCAGCCCCCAAGTCCTCCTAGGAGCAGGGTATTAAAAGCTCATTTCTGGAGAGGGATCTGGCTTCTCCATTCCAGGTCCAGGCCCTTAAGAAAAAAATCAAGGGATCTTGACTGAGTCTAGTCCCTGATGAGCCAGCATCATAGTGCAGGACCCACCACTGTTAAATGGACCTGTGTTAGCTGAATTATCCAGGCAAAGCCACTAACAGAGCTACAGAGATCTAATGCTGCCTTCTGCCCCTAGAATACACCTCTGCTGGCACCCCAATGGGGATCTTGAGGTGGGGGGCAAAAAGGCGCGTGGAGAACCTGCATGCCCAGCTATCTGCCTTGTTGCAGAGAAGCCTGACAGCAAATTAGCTCCATGACTTTAAGGAAGAGCATGGGCTCATCATTCCCAAGAATCCCAGCACACAATCTGCCCACACCTGCCTAACAGGTCAGCCCAGCCACACACACACACACACACACACACCCCCACCTGCCACATCTACAGGCTGGGCTGCAGACAGAAAAGGATCCGTCAGAGACACAAAAGGCTTTTGTAATGAACCCACCCCCACCCCGTGGCTTTTGGGCACATATCCCAGGACACTGCTCTGCACAGGCAGGAACAGCGCTGGAATGCAAACACTCACAGACAGGTGGTTTCCAGCCTCGTCTCAGGAGCACAAGTGTGGGGGAGGGGAGGGCAGAGAGCAGGGAGGGCAGAACATAGAGCCCCTTGTCATCCTATCACACTGACCCACCCATGGGGCCAGTCTACACTGCAGGTCTCCAAATGTCTCAGAGCAGTGTCCATGCGCTACAACTGCTGGGAGCTTTGCAGTAGGATCCTGGGACTGCGCATGGCCAGGGTGTGCTACATGCACGGTGGGAGATACAGACAGACCCCGCCTCAAAGGCCTCATCGCAGAGAGGGTTGGGAGAGAAAGGACAGATCTATCCCTATCCAACTGATGGGAAAATGAGACAGAGAGATTAAGTGACATGCCCAAGGTGATATGGGGAGTCCACAGCAGGAACCCAATCTAGGTCTCCCAAGCCTAGTGCCCTAGCCACAAGGCCAGCCTGCCCCTGCAGAAGAGTTAGCCGCTTCCCTCACCCTTTAGCCTAGGTCAGGGCACGCGTGACAGCACAGCTGGGGGGATGGAGCTACAGAGAACGAGAGTGTCTGAGCTAGAGAGAAACAGAGGGTCTGTCTGAGACCAGCAGCCCCACTAAAGAATCCAAGTTGCAATAATCACCATGTCTGCTCTACCACGGGGACACTAGCATGCCATCCAGGTGTCAGTCCTGCTGGCACACACTGTCAGGCTGCATCTCAGTCCTCATGCAGTTGGGGGCCCAGCCCAAAAGTATCTACAAGATGAAGCTAGAAAGCCCTCCTGCCTCTTATGGCTCTGTACAGCAGGAGGATGTTAGCACACACTGCACTGCATGCTGCACCCCTGCCCACAGCCCTCTGCTCTGGCACCAACAAGAGTAGAGGTAATACTGGAGAGCTGCCCAGCTTTCCCCAGAACGCACCAGTACAAACCTGGCCATCATCGTGGGAGGAGTGAGCAGGCCAGGCCAGGAATGCGGTTGCATCAGAAGAAATGCTGCAGGGTGGCTGAGCTCAAGCCAGCTGTGATCATGCTGGAGCCTGGGATCATAAAAAAATAGTTGCTCTGGGGACTTGGCAGCATCCTACATGCTAAACCTAGGGACTGCGATCACTCCCCTGGAGACTGCTTGCACTGCACTAAAGATAGACTTGAACTAAAGCAACCTAGAGCCTTGGGCAGGTCCAGAGGCTGCAGTCAGAAAAGCAAGAAGGGAGCTGGGATGGCTAGAGACAGACCAACTCCACAATCATTCTGCCTTAACCCACTGGGCACCAACTCTACTCCAAACTTTCCAGTGTTCCCTGAAACAAAGACCTCACCAGGCTCAGAGCCTGCACTTCATTTGGAGGATGCAACTTTGCCTCTCCAAATACCTTCCACAAGAAGTGAACAGAAGAGTCTCTTCCAGCCCTGCTGGCAGAAAGAGTTATGGACTTTTGCCATTCAGTGTATCAAGGACTTGGATGTTGATGGGATAGAAAGGGATAAGCCAAGTTGAACAGCAGCTCAAACGCTACGAAGGTGGATCACATTTGCTTGGTCGAGCAAGCACCATTCTCCACACCTGAGCCAGTCTCCTTCACGCAGAGGCAGGCAAGTAGTGTTTGAAGATTTCCAGTCCCAAGCATTGTACCAGCAAGCCGTGTTGCAGGCCAGGGAG